AATATAAGGAAGCAAAACACACCCAATTGAACAGCAAAAATAAAAAAGAACTCCCCAAATGAGAATAGCATAAGGAGATTGTGGGACAACTTTAAGCATACCAACATTCTCTTCATGGGAGTGCCAGAAAGAGAAGAGAGAGGGCAAGAAACTGAAAAACCTACTTGAAAAAATAATGACAAAAACTTCCTGAACTTGGCAAAAGAAACAAACATACAAGTCCAGGAAGCACAGAGAGTCCCAAACAAGATGAACCCAAAGACATCCACACCAAGAGACATCATCATCAAAATGCAAAAGATTAAAGACAAAGAGAGAATCTTAAAAGCAGAAAGAAAAAAGCAGTTAGTTACCTATAATGGAGCTCCCATAAGGCTATCAGCCATTTTCTCAAAAGAAACCTTGTAGGCCAGAAGGGAGTATCAAGAAATATTTAAAGTGATGGAAAGCAGAGACCTACAACTAAGATCACTCTATCCTGTAAAGCTACTATTTAGAATCAATGGACATATAAAGAGTTTCCCAGACAAGAAAAAGCTAAAGGAGTCTGGCTGGTGTGGCTCAGTGGTTGAGTGTCGACCCATACACCAAGAGGTCGCTGGTTCAATTTCCAGTCAGGACACATGCCCAGGTTGTGGGCCAGATCCCCAGTGTGGGACATGCAGGAGGTGGCCAATCAATGTTCTCTCTCATTGATGTTTCTATCTCTCTCAGCCTCTCTCTTCCTCTCTCTCTAAAATCAACAAAGGAAAAAAAAATTTTAAATAAAAAGCTAAAGGGGTTCATCACCACCAAATCAGTATTATATAAAATGTTGGCAGGTTTTCTTGAAGAAGAAGAAGTAGAGGAAGAAGAAGAAGCAGCAGCAGCAGAGGAAAAAATATGAACAATAAAATGGCAATAAATACATATCTATCAACAATTGAATCTACAGCCCTGGCCAGTTTGGCTCAGTGGTTGAGCGTCGGCCTGCGGACCAGAGAGTCCCGGATTCGGTTCCCACGAGGGGCACGTACCACCGGAAAAAAAACAACAACAATTGAATCTATAAAAAAAATGAGCAAGCAGAACAGAAACAGACTCATAGATACAGAGAAGTTTCTGTTGGTTGCCAGATGGGAGGGGGGTTGGGGGGATGGGGGGAAAAGGTGAAGGAATTAAGAAGCACAAATTGGTTGTTAGAATGAACTTCAAAGGGAAGGTGGGAGGTGGGGCGGGAAGAGAGAAACTAAAGAACTTATATTCATATACATAACCAACAGACACAGACAATAGTGTGGGGAAAGCAGGAGGGGGGTGGGAGTGGAAAGGAGGGGTTCAAGGGAAAAAAAAGAAGAGACATCTATAATACATTCAACAATAAAAATAAGTTTAAATAGAAAAAAAAAGTGCAACAACAAATCAGTGTGTGTGTCTCTCTCTCTCAATTAAATAAATAAATACCAAGTCATCACTTCTGTTCTCGATTTCTGTCTCCCTGTAAAAGTGGCAGAATAATTTCCCCAGAATTGACTTTGAATCCACTTTCTTTTCTTCTGTAGTCAGGAAAAGACAGAGTGCCAGTGGGCATCAGAGAAGTCAAAGCCTCGTACAGTAGGCTGCACGTTCTCTAGGCAGGGCCCTGAGTCCCACACCCTGACAGCCACCGCACTAGGCGGGGCCCTGAGTCCCACACCCTGACAGCCACCGCACTAGGCAGGGCCCCACGGGGTCAGGCTGGCAAACTGCTAGGTATGATGAAGACAGTGTAAGAGGTGCCGGAAAGCACATGATGAGGACAGTGTTAAGAGGTGCCAGAAAGCATGCACCAGGCTGCATGGCGTGTGCTCTGCAGAGCCTGGCATTTGAAAGGCCCAGGGGTTATTACTGGCATCAGGAGTTACAGTCGTTTCCAGAGGGTGACAGGAGAAGAATCCCCTAGAAGTAGATGAATTGAGGACCCATTCTTTTCCTTACCTTTGGATTTCTTCAGGTTCTATGATGGAGTCATGTCTTGATTTTGCTTCATGGAGTTTTTCCCTCCAGGTCCAGAGAAACAGCAGTCAGACTGAGAAAGTGAAACCCTTTAACACTACAAAGTATGGCTAAGCTGGGTGGTGAGATCAGGGGTTGGGGTTTAGGGAAGAAGGAGCTACAGCAAGAAGATGGGGTGAGGTGGTGGAGTCCTGGGGGTGGGGGAAGATGTTGGGGTGGTGAGCTGGCAGCCAATCAAGAGCAGGGCTAGGGATGTGAGGCCCGGGCAGGTGGGGCAGAGTAGGACATGGAAATAAATATGGGAGATGAAGCTAGAGAGGAGAGAAGATCAGGAGGGTGTGAGGAAGGGGGCAGGGAAACAGTAGGGGCCCCAAGAGTCATCCATTTCATCAAGGGGCTTGCAGTAGGTGCAAGGAAATAGAAGAATCTGTACTGAAGAAAACAGTTATCCTGTTTAGCAAACAAACTACTTGCTACTATGCTTTCCTGTCTGCAGCCTAAGTATTCGATGGCAAAGTTCAACAGAGTGTACAGGAATTCGGGAGGGAGAAACGGTGTGTTTATGCTGAGCATTGTTGGATGAGCAAATCAGTAGGCAAATGCATTTGGGATGACCCATCATACCTGCACAAGACAACTTCGAAGTCCCAGAAGAGCAAGGGAAACAGTCTCAGCGTCTGGCTGGGTCAGGGGAGCCAGCGCGGAAGTGCACACCCTGCTGGGCGCGGCCTGCAGCGCAGGGAGAACCCTCCAGACCCTTCTCTCTTCCCACTTGCCGGGAAGGGCTCCTCTAAGAAGTGTCTGATATGCCAGTAGGCAGGCAAATCGTTAGACCTCGAAAGGAACTGAGTGAAGAGGAGGGAAAGTAGGAGGAGATTTTGGGAAAGTAGGAAGAATTTTGTCTCTGAGATTAAACCAGAGACAGGAGAGGGGCTGGAGTGGCTTCGCCAGGTATATCTTGAAAGAAGGAAATGGATTCCTGAGCTGGTGCGAATGGATCCCAGATGGGTCTCAGCTTACTTCGATCATCAGCCAGATCCGCACTGTCTGATAGGGTAGCACACGTAGCTACCGAACACTCCAAATGTGGCTAGCATGACGAGAACAGAATTTTTAATTTTACTGAATTTTCACTAATCCAAATTTAAATGTAAAAACTGAAGCAGTTGTCCACTGAACATGTTTTGTCCACTAAACATAGACTTGGTAGGACTATATTTTACCTCAGCCATTGAAAATGTAGTGTGCAGCCCGACTGGCGTGGCTCCGGTCGGGGGTCGTCCCGGACCGAGGGCTGCAGGAGGCAGCCGCCCGATGTTGCTCTCTCACATCCATGTTTCTCTCTCTCTCTCCCTTCCTCTCTCTCTCTAAAAAATCAATAAAAACATTTAAAAAGAAGAAGAAAATTTAGTGTCCAAGTTGAGATCTGCTGATGGACAGGTAAGATATACACCAGATGTCAAAGACTCAGTACAAAAAAAAATGAGATTATAAAATATTTAATTAATACCTTTTAAACATTGATTTTAGAGAAAGAGGAAGTGAGAAAGAGGGAAAAAATTTGATTTGTTGTTCCACTTATTGATATATTCATTGGTTGCTTTGACCCACAACCCTAGAGTATCAGGACAATGCTCTAACCAGTTGAACTACCCGGCCAGGGCTTTAATACTTTTCAGATTTGGTTAACAGATTGAAATAACATGTTGGATATATTGAATTAAAGAAAATGTTTTATTAAAATCAATTTTATCTGTTTCTTTTTACCTTTTTAATGTGACTGCTAGAAAAAAATTTAATGACATATGTGGCTTGCAATATAGTTCTAAATTACATTGGGTGCTCACATTATATTTCTAAATTGCACCTGTGACATGCATTAGACTCTGAATTACACACGCGTTCACACCGTGTTTCTGTTGGCCGGCCCTGGCGAGGGGAGGGTGGGGGTTCCTGACAGTCGCGGCGGAGTGAGTTTCTTCCCCCCTCGCTTGCTCCTGGCCCAGCCAGTTTGCGCCGGACAGCAGGAAAATCTTCCTCCCCCTATGACCTGATAGGCTGCTTGAATCCTGTGAGGATCCTTTGCTTCTCAAGCCCACCTGTGCCTGGGAGCCAGCAGCCAGGATGCTTAGGAGAGGAGACAATGGCCGGAAGGTCTTTCTAGCCCATTCATTTCCGTTTTCAGTTTTTCCCATTTGTGCTGAGTCCCATGAAGAACCAGGCGTGAGCTTCATAAAGCATCGCCTCTGCGCTCAGTTTTACCTTCAGGTTACTTCTTTATGCTTTATCACTTTTTGCCTTTGAGGACTAAGTAAGTAGTTAAGATACTACCTAAGTATCAGAGTATCCTCACATTTCCAAAAGGCTTTTCTGTTTACAATCTGCTTTCACATACGTTTTTCCTTACACACACACACACACACACACACTCACACTCACACAGGTAAAGATGTTGGGTGGGCTTATCATGGCTTCATTTTTTTTTAATCCTCACCCAAGGACATTTTTTTTTTTTTTGCATGTATCTTCAGATAGAGTGGGAGGGAGAGAAACATCGATGTGAGAGAGACACATCAACTGGTTGCCACCCACGGGACCCTCACCAGGGCTGGGGACAAACTGCAACTGAGGTACATGCCCTTAGCGGGAACTGAACCCGGGACTCTGTGGACCGTGGGCTGATGCTCTAACCGCTGAACAAAACCGGCCAGGGCACCATGGCCTCATTTTCTAACTGGGGAAGCAATCTCCAGTTAGTAAGGGGCTGTGGGGGACAGCGCAGGATCTTGAAACTGGTATTTCTCATTCTCAGACCGCGCTGGTTTTCCTTCCACTAACTGTCGCCAGGTGGAGGAAACCAAAGCAGCCGGCCCAGGCCAATATGACAAGGCTGAACGTGGACGGTGCCCCGCATGGTGAGCCCCGGGCTGGGGAAGGGGTCCGAGCGCACCCCCCACAGCGCGTGGTCCCTCCTGCCCGCGAGGGCCAGTGCGGGGCAGCCCCCGGGCCGGCGCAGCATTTCTGTTTCAGAGCTCGCGGGACAGGGACATCCGCACATGAGTTGAATTTTTTCTTACCACAAACACGTTGGTCCTCTGCTTGCCCTGGGCCTTCACTTGTGCTATCGGCCTTCTTTTGCTGCAAGGCTTTGACCTGCCATTGTTGTGCCCCTGTGGGGAGCAAGTTGTTTTGGGAAGCTGTACCGGGAGTTCTCGCAGCCTGGTCTGTCAGGATGGTGGGTGGGACTCCCCAGGGTAAACCTCCTGCAATGGTCAGCAGGGTCCCCTTGCTGTTCAGGTGGGGGAGGAGGGGAAGAGGTAGGATGGGGAGGGAGAGATCTGGAGCCTGAGTGGCCTACAGGAGGGAACGGTCATAGATTACAACTAACACACATGCTGAAGGTTTGGATGGTGCTTTGGGATTCTCAAAGAACACCCACAAACTGTCCCTCATTTTTCTTACCCACACTCTTGTATTTCTTTTTTATTGGATTTATCGGGGTGACAATGATTCACAAAACAATACAGGTTTCAAGTGTACAATTCAACAAAATATCATCTGCACCTGCATCATGTGCCCATCACCCCAATTAAAGTCTCTTTCCACCTCCCTTGACCCCCCTTTGCCCTCTTCATGCCACTAACTAACTTCTCCTAAGGGGTATGTTTTATTGGCCCCATTTGAAAGATGAGGCATCTAAAGCTCAGAGAGGTAAGCGATTCCTTGAAGGTCGTACAGTAAATTCAGGCTTCTGAACTTGAGCCCAGACCGTCTGACTCAAAATCCCACATTCTTTCTGTTTTCACTGAGCCTTGATTTCAGCAGGCAGCAGTTCTCAGGCGTGGACATTCAACTCTCTGTACGTGCCTGCAAGCAGCACCCAGTGCCAGGCTGGGCAATGGGCAGCAGACTCAGAGGGAGGAGGTGACATTTTTCAGGTGCCACACATCCATTGTGGAATGTGTGTTCTTCTGACCCCTGGCACACCAAACGGGAGCTCCCAGCATGCTACAGAAGTGACCGAACTTCTCCCCGTGCCTTACACAACACAGCTCGCTCCTTTCTGGCTGCATTTCAGAGGGACTACATGTTGGATTTTCTCTGTCAGAATCACCAACAGCCAGTTGGGCCTCACAGGTTTGTGCAGGGGGACATCCGAGAATACTGTCTGATGCTCCCCACGGTGAGCAGTGCATCTGAGGCACAGACTCCGCAGTCAGTGGTGGCAGAGCCCTGCAAAATACCCAAGGAGAGGGGTACACTTCTTCCTGCAGGTTGCTGGTAGACTGCTGACCGGCCATCACCAGGTAGAGGGCTGCTTCGAGTCTAGAAGTCTGCTATGGACACGGGTTCTAGAAAGGGAGAAGGAAACAGAGGAGATAGAAGTCAAAGATTCTACCAATTCGAGAAGTAGGGAGGGATGAAAAGAAAAAAAAAAAAGAATAATAGAGTAAAAATTAGAATGTAGGGAATATTATAAACAGAGGAAAACAGATGGGCAGTCCTAGCTCACTGCCTCTTGAGAACAAATGTATACATGCTGCTTATAACAAGAGGCAATAGTCCTGAACCTTGGACGAAGTAAGGCTACATATATAAGGCATTTAATGAGATTAGAAGGGCCAGAGCACCCAAGTCCACTCACAGAGGTTCAGGTAGGGGGTGGAGGAGCTAGAAGACACTTCCCAAAAGGTCACAGCTAATTCCTTAATGATGCTTAAACCGGACAACAAATGGGTCCAGCCTGCCTGTCACTTCTTGAGCTCATTAAGCAGAGACAAGGCTGAGCGTTTATTCCAATATTGCCGGCAGTGTGGGAGAGCAGCAGGTCATCCCTGGAAAATCTGCTCTGAACTCCCTCAATAGCCGGTTGCTTTTATTGTGTAGCTACTTGGGGAAGGGCAGGCAGGCAAAGAGGAATAACAATGGGTAAATGTTTACAGATCACAGGCATGGAGAAGCAATGGGGGCTGGGGAATGTGGGCTGAGGGCTCTGAAGGGTGGTCTCCAATGCACCGCATGCAGGGCTCCAAGGCTGTTAAATTCTCTGTGGTGCTGAGCAGCCTTCCCTTGTTCTCAGATAAGGACAATGGACAGCACTCCCGAGGTAGACTCCCAGGGCTACAGCTCCCAGCCAGGTCAGAGTGGGCTTTCTCTAATCAGAACAAAGCAACCACGATGAACAGAGCAAGGCTGTTTAACATTTCTTATAACTATGGCTGACATTCCAGTGTGACCAGTTCTCCGTATTCTCGCCCACCCCTTTCAGTGCTTTGAGTATCTCTTGCGCGCAGAGCCCGAAACTTGGAAACGCGCATGAAAAGTTAGGAAGGGAGTAATCCTCTCCCTTTCATACTCTGCTTCACACTTGGGAGAGTTTTGTGAAAAGGTGGCAGCTGTGATCACCCACCTCAGAGAACCTTCAGTGACATATAAGAAGCGATGGTTCTTCCTAGGGAGGATTCCTAGACTAGTGGGGGAAGCAAGGATCTGCTGTGCTGAGCGTCATTCTCCGTTTCTGTCCTTGTTCTTGACGCTGGTGGAGATTCTTCTCCCCACAGCACCTGCACCTGCCCATCAGGCCTTCCGTTTTTTCCTTGTCTGCAACACTCTGGTGTCTCCCTGCCCATTCTTTATGTCGAGGTCAAAACATCCACACCTGTAGAGAATTTTCATAAAAATTTATTTAAGCCAAATACAGGATATGTCTGAAGCAAGATCTCAGCAGACTGAGAAAGGTGCTTCCTAGAATGGCAGGTTGCATCTTCTTTTATGCATTTTTAATTAAGGAGGGGACTAAGGAAGCCCACGTGAGGGTGGGGGAGAGCAGGAGGGGCATTGTGTCCCAGGACACTTAAGATTATGAGCTCTCACACATTACAAAGAGGGGTTTGCAAGGTGGTGAGGTGTTAGAAGGAAAAGTCTGAAAGAGGCATTTCAAAGGTATGTTAACCTAGAAACAATAGGCCGGGCTTGCTTGAGGCAAAGATAAACTCACTGAAGAAGTTACATGCTGGGTGTGACCACACCACGACCTGCCCAGTTGGGAATTTATGATCAGATCACCTTGTGAGGTTACATTCTGTGGAACTTCCTTTCGTTCCACAATTGTTAGATAACACATCATTCACCAAACTACATTTCTGTTGTTTTGTTATGGTAAAAACATTAAAGATGTATTCTCATAGCAACTTCCAAGTATACCATACAGTGTTGTTGCCAACCACAGCCTCCACTCTGTGCACAGGCCCTGGAACTCCTGACTCACACCTGGAAACGTGTACCTCTGACCACCAGCGCCCCTCTCCCTGAGCCCTCCGCCTCTGGCCGCCACTCTGCTCTCTGTTTCTACGTTTGATGTTTTTAGATTCCACATATAAATGAGATCATATAGCACTTGTCTTTTTCTGCCTGACATTTCATTAGCATAACACCCTCAAGGTCCATCCATGTTGTTGGAAGGGCAGGATTTTCTCTCTTTTTTTATGGGATATATTCTCTATCCACTCACCTATCAATGTGCACATAGGTTGTTTTCATGTCTTAGCTACAGTAGTACCCATGGTTTCGCTTTCTATTACCAGAGGTCATAAAATATTAAATGGAAAATTCCAGAAATAAACAAGTTATAAGTTTTACATTGTACTCCGTTCTGGGTCATGTGATAAAATCTCTTGCTGTCCTGCTCCATCCCACCTTGGACATGAGCTACCCCTTTGTCTATCATACCCAGTCTGTGTAGCTACCCACGATGAGTCACTAACTGGTACTCTAGTTATCAGATTGGCTGTCAGGATGGCACTGCCTGTGGTCAAGTCACCCTCACTTTACTTAATAATGGCCCCAAAGTGCAAGCGTAATGATGCTGGCAATTTGGATATGCCAAAGAGAAGCCATGAATTGCTTCCGTTAAGTGAAAAAGTGAACATTCTCAACTTAATAAGGAAAGGAAAAAATCACATGCGGAGGTTGCAAAGATCTATGGTAACAATGAATTTACAGTGAAATTATAAAGAAGGAAAAATAATTTTGTGCTAGTTTTGACCCTCCTTCTGACTTATCATCAGAACCTCAACAGCACCCTAACGCGACATCACAGTGCCCCTCCTTCACCTCTCTTCATCTCAACACATCGCAACAAGAGGAGGGCGGCACAGTGAGATGTTTTGAGAGAGAGAGACCACATTCACTAACTTTCATGACAGTATCATTAGTTATCATTCTTAATCTCTTACTCTGCCTAATTTATAAATTAAACTTTATCATAGTATGTACAAAACATAGTATATACAAGGTTAGTACTATCTGTGGTTTTAGGCATCTACTGAAGGTCTTGGAATATATTCCCAACATGGTGAATAATGTTGCAATAAATATGGAAATGCAGGTATCTTTCTCTCTCTTTTTTTATCCTTACCTGAGGACATTTTTGCATTTATCTTCAGATAGAGTGCAGGGTAGGGGGAAGAAACATCGATGTGAGAAAGACACATCAACTGGTTGCCACCCACACAACCCCAACCAGGGCCGGGGACAAACTGCAACCAAGGTCCCTGCCCTTAGCAGGAACTGAACCTGGGACTCTCTGGTCCACAGGCTGATGCTCTAACTGCTGAGCCAAACCGGCCAGGGTAGGTATCTCTTTGAAATACTTCTTTCACCTTTTCCAGATATATACCCATAAGTGGGACTGTAGGTCTATTTTTAATTATCTGAGGATCTCCCATACTGTTTTCCACATGGCCATACCAATTTGTATTTCCCCAGGGGTGCACCCGGGTTACTTCTTCTCCACATCCCGTCAGCAGGTATCACTTGTCTTTTTTATTATAGTTTTTCTAATAGGTGTGAGGGGATATCTTATTGTGGTTTTGATGGGCATTTCTCTGATGTTTAATGACGTTGAACATCTTTTCATATACCTGCTGGGCATTTATATGTCTTCTTTGGAAAAATGTCTATTTAGTCTATTGAATAGACCTTTTAATCAGATTATTTGCAATATTTTGCTGTTGAGTTGTATAAATTCCTTATATATTTTGGATATTTACTCCTTATCAGATATATAGTTTGTGAAAATTTGATCACAGCCCATAGGTTGCCTTTTCATTTTGTTGATGGTTCCTCTTGCTGTGCAAACACCATTTTCTCTGATGTAGCCTCACGTTTTGATTTTTGCTTTTGTTGCCTTTGCTTTGGTGTCATATCCAAAATAAATTATTGCCAAGAACACGGTCAAAGAGCTTTCTCCCTGTGTTTTATTTTAGGAGTTTCATGATTTCAGGTCTTACATTTAAGTTCTTAATCAGTTTTGAGTTAATTTTTGTGAGCTGTTAAAGACAGAATCCAATTTCATTCTATTGCATGTGGGTATTCAGGTTTCCCAACAATGTTAATTGGAGAGACTATCCTTTTCTCGTTGCATATTCTTGGCTTCCTTGTCATATATTACTTGGCTATATATACATGGGTTTATTTCTGGGCTCTCAATTCTGTTCCATTGATCAATGTGTCTGCTTTTATGCCAGTACCATGCTGTTTTGATTACTATGCCCTTGTAGTATAGTTTGAAATCAGGAAGCGTGATGCCTCCAGCTTTGTTTTTTCTCAAGTTGCTTTGGCTATTTGGAGTCTTTTGCAATTCCATACAAATTTTAGGACTTTTTTTTTCCTGTTTTGGGGTAATATGAACATTTTTAACAATATTAACTATTCTGATCCATGAACATGGGGTATTCCTTCCACTTATTTGTGTCTCAATTTTTTTCATCAATGTCTTACAGTTTTTGGTGTATAAAGCTTTCACTTCCTTGGGTGAATTTATTCCTGTTTTATGTTTTTTATGCTATTATACATGGTATTGTTTCATTTCTTTTTCAGATACTTCACTGTTGGTGTATAAAAGTGCAACTGATTTTTGTATGTTGTTTTGTATCCTGAAACTTTACTAAATTCATTTATTAGTGCTAACAGAGTTTTTTCAGTGCAGTCTTTAGAATTTTCTACATACAAGATTATATCATCAGCAAACAGACAATTTTACTGCTTTCTTTTCGACTTCCATGGCTTTTCTTTCTTTTCTAGATAAGTTGCTCCGGCTACAACTTCTAATACTATGTTGAGTAGAGGTGGTAAGAGTGGGCATCTTAGAGGGAAAGCTTTCAACCCTTCACCATTGAATTTGTTAACTGTGAGTCTGTTACATATGGCCTTTATTATGTTGAGATATGTTCTTTCTATATCTAACTTGTTGAGAGTTTTTATCATAGAAGGATGTTGACTTTTGTCAAATGCTATTTCAGCATCTATTGAGATTATTATATGATTTTTGTCTTTCATTCTATTAATGTGGTGTATCACAGTTATTGATTTGCATGTGTTGATCCATCTCTGTATCCCAGAGATAAATCCCACTTGATTATGGTAAATGATTCTTTTAATGTGCTGTTAAATTTGGTTTGCTAGTATGTTGTTGAGCATTTTTGCATCTATATCTATCAAGGATGTTGTCCTGTAGTTTTCTTCTCTTTTAGTATTTTTTATTTATTGTTGAAAGTATTACAGATGTCCTCCTTTTTTCCCCATTGACCCCTCCTTCCCGCTTCCACCCCCCTCCTGCTTTCCCCAAGCTAATATCTGTGTCCATTGGTTATGCATATATGCATATAAGTTCTGTGGTTTATCTCTTCCCACCCCTCCCACCCACCTCTTTTAGTATCTTTTTTTTTTAAATCCTCACCCAAGAAAATAAATGCATATATATATATATATATATGCATTTATCTTCAGATGGAGCGGGAGGGAGAGAGGGAGGAAGAGAATGAGAGAAACATTGATGTGAGAGAGACACATCGACTGGTTGCCACCCACACAACCCCAACAGGGGCCAGGGACAAACTGAAACCGAGGTGTGTACCCTTAGTGGGAACCGAATCCAGGACTCTCTGGTCTGCAGGCTGACGCTCTAATCGCTGAGCCGAACCGACCAGGGCTCTTGTGGTATCTTTATCTGGCTTTGATATAAGTGCAATGCTGGCCTCATAAAATAAGTTTGGGGGTGTTCCATCCTCTTCAATTTTTTTGGAAGAGTTTGAGAACTGGCATTTTCTGCCTAGATGATCCACCCATTGTTGAAACTGGAGCATTAAAGTCTCTTACTATTACGGCACTGTTGTCTATCACTCTGTTCATATTTTTAGTGCTTAATACAGTTAGGAGCTCTGATGGTTGCATATAAATCTGAGATTCTCATATCCTCTTGATAATTAAACTTTTTATATTATATAATGGCCTTTATGTCTAGTTACCAATTTTGGCCTAAAGTCTATTTTGTCTAAGCAGAGGTACCCCTGCCCTCTTCTGGTTTCCATTGGGTGGAATATCTTTTCTATTCTTTCACTTTGAGCCTATGTGTGTGTCCTTGAAGCTGAAGTCTCTTGTAGGCAGCATATAGTTGGGTCTTCTTTACATATCTATTCAGCTATTCTGTGCCTTTTTACTGGTAAATTTAATATATTAGGACTTACTATTGCCATATTGTTCATTGTTTTCTGGCTACTTGGTAGTTCTTTTGTTCCTTACTTCCTCTCTTGTTGCCTTCTTTGTGAATTAATGATTTTCTATAGTGGTATACTCTGATTCCCTTCTCTTGTCTTGTGTGTGTCTACTATAGATTTTGTTTTAGGGTTATCCTGAGGCTTATTTGAAAGACCGTATAGATATAACAGTCTATTTTAAGCTAATAAATACAAAGCTCTACCCTTACCTCTTTATGTTTTTGATGTCACAATTTACATCTTTTTTTTTACTTTATTTATTTTATTAATTAATTTGTGTTACAGATGTTTCTCCTTTTCCCCCCACCCCCCTCTCCCTCCCTCCCTGCCCTGTCCCCGGTTTGTTGACCATGTCCACTGTTCATGCATACATGCATATAAGTTCTGTGGTTAACCCCCTCTTCTGGGGATTGTCAGTCTGTACCCCACTTCCACGTCTCTGGGACTGCCCTATTCCCCAGACTGTTATGTTCATTATATTCCACAAATAAGTGAGATCATATGATATTGTCTTTCTCTGTTTGGCTTCTTTCACTTAGGATGATACTTTCCAGGTCCCTCCATGTAGTCTCAAAGGATAAGAGATCTTTCTTTCTTACAGCTGCATAGTACTCCATTGTGTATATGTACCACAGCTTTTTTATCCATTTGTCTACTGATGGACACTTGGGCTGTTTCCAGATCTTAGCTATTGTAAACAGTGCTGCTACAAACATGGGGGTACATATATTCTTTCTGATTGGTGTTTCAGGCTTCTTAGGGTATATTCCTAGAAGTGGGATCACTGGGTCAAATGGAAGTTCAATTTTTAATTTTTTAAGGTAACACCATATTGTTTTCCATAGTGGCTGCACCAGTCTGCATTCCCACCAGCAGTGTACTAGAGTCCCCTTTTCTCCACACCCTCGCCAACACTTGTTGTTTGATGATTTGTTGATGGCGGCCATTCTGACAGATGTGAGGTGATACCTCATTGTTGTTTTGATTTGCATCTCTCTGATGATTAGCATTTCTTCATATGTCTCTTAGCCATTTGTATGTTCTGTTTGGAGAGGTGTCTATTTAGTTCCTCTGCTCATTTTTTAATTGGGTTCTTTGTCTTCCTTTTGTTGAGCTGTATGAGTACTCTATATATATTGGAAATTAACCCCTTATCTGATATATCATTGGCAATTACGCTCTCCCACACAGTGGGTATCCTTTTTGGTTTGATGATAGTATCTTTTGCTGTGCAGAAGCTTTTGAGTTTGATGTATTCCCATGTGTTCATTTTCTCCTTTGTTTCTATTGCCTTAGGTGATGTATCAGTGAAAATTCTGCTGCGTATGATGTCTGAAATTTTGTTGCCTACAGTTTTTTCTAGGGCTTTTATGGATTCATGAGTCACAATTTTGGTTCCTTGAGTTCTGGTGACCAGTGTTTTTCCAATATTTCTTATATTGAACATAGGTGGTGCTTTCACATCATACCAATCTTTCTTAGAAAATGGATCAACCACTTTCTTCTTGACTCCCTTTTTGCCACCTTTCGTAAGGTGCTTGTTCTTGCCCACTGCCATGGTGCTGCAGAGAGAGCCAAAAGGCTACATCTTTTTATATTGTGTACCCATTAACAAATTAATGTAGCTATAGCTATTTTAATACCTTTGTCCTTTAACCTTTATACTAGAGTTACATGGTTAACACACCATTGTATTATAGCATAGAGAATTTAAAATCTGACCATATATTTACCTTTACCAGTATGTGGTATATTTTCATATGTTTTCATTTTACTAATTAGTAGCATTCCATTGAATAATGCCAGTTCTTCTTTCAGCTTGAAGAACACCCTTAAGCATTTCTTGTAATACAGATCTAGTGGTAATAACCTCCCTCAGCTTTTATTCTTCGGGGAAGTCTTTATCTCCATTTCTGAAGGACAACTTTGGTGAATAAAGTATTTTGGGTTGGCAGGTTTTTCTTCTTTCAGCACTTTGAATATATCATCCCATTCTCTCCTGGCCTGCAAGGTTTCTGCTGAGAAATTGGCTGTATCCTTACTGGGGTGGAGGTGGGGGATCTCTTGTATGGGAGAAACATTTTTACCTTGCTGCTTTAAAAATTCTCTCTTTGACTTTTATTTTAGACAATTTCATTATAATATGTCTTGGAGAAAATCATTTTGGATTGAAATTTTGGGGTGAACTGTTAGCTTAGTGAAGTTAGATATCCTAATCTTTCCCCAGGTTTGGGAAGTTCTCACCATAATTTCTTTAAATAAGGTTTCTGTCCCATTCTCCCTCTCTTCTCCTCTTGGGATTCCAATGATAAATAATTGTTTTTCTCTTAAAGGTGTCCCATAAGTCCTATAGGCTTTCTTTATTTCTTTTCATTCTTTTACTTTTTGCTCCTCTTACTGAATAATTTCAAATGATCTGTCTTTGAGCTCATTGATTCTGTCTTCTGCTTGGTCCAGCCTGCTGTTGAAACCCTCTGCTGAATTCTTTAGTCATATTATTTAGCTCTGAAATTTCTATTTGATTCTTTTTTATGTTTTCTCCATTCAACTCCTCATTTTGTTCTTGTAATGTTCTTCTGATTTTGTTAAATTGCTTATCTGTGTCCTCTTGTAGCTCTCCGAGCATTTTGAATTCTTTGTTGCACAATTCCTCTATCTCCATTTCTTGGGGTCAGTTATTGGAAGGTTACTGTGTTCCTTTGGTGGTGTCATGTTTTTATGAATCTTCATGATCCCTGTAGCCTTGTGAAGAAGCAGTCACCTCCTCCAGACTTTATGAACTGATTCAGTAAGAAAATACCTTTCCCTGAAGGTGGGGACATGCTGTAGCATGCTGTCACCCTGGGTCTAAAGATGTAGCCTATTGACCTGGCCAATTTGACTCAGTGGTTGGAGCATCAGCCTGTGGACCAGAGGGTCCCGGGTTCAGTTCCCACTGGGGGCATGTACCAAAAAAAAAAATAGGCACGTAGCCTATTGAGGGCGGGGGTGTGTGGTGGTTCTGGGTTCAGGAGACATGACAACTCATTGTCTGGGGTTTGTATTGTCAACAACTGTGTGGTCCTTGACAAGTGTTGTAGGGGGTTTCCAGAGGCAGGCTACAAGAGCAGTTGGGGTCCCCAGAAGCACCTCTAGGTTTAGTAGACTGAGATCAGGGCAGGCAGTGGTCATGGCCAGAGCTGGTTGTATGGGGCCAGCTACAACTCTGTGTAGTTGCAGAGGCTGGTAGCAAACACACTAGTGGGACCAGGGAAAGCTGCCAGTGCTGGGGTCAACTATGGGCATGCTGGTTGCTGCAGGAGCCCTGGTTGTTGGCATTTATTACATGTATTACTGCCAACCAACTGCTGGGTCTTGCCATAGAGGCACAGAAATGTCAAGCCAGGCCAGCAGCATGTAGGTGCACAGCTGGAGGGTATAGCCACAGATGGATCCAGTGTTGCAGGCCAGGGACAAGAGATAAAGCTGAATATGAGCCCACAAACAGCAGCTGGGGCCTTAGCTATTGGTGTGCACTTGCATGGCAGCAGGATCTTGCCACAGATGTGCACATGACAGCAGAAGCTGGTGAGAGGCATCAGGCCAGCTATCCCTGAGCATGTGCACAGCAGTGAGGGTCAGCTGTGGGGGGGTCTATGCTGATATCTTATCCTTATGCAGCTACAGTGGCCTGGGCTGGCTGCTGGTGCAAGGATGGGCTCAGCATGAGGTTGGGGGACCCATTCAGTGACCAGGGAGTCAGCTAACGTGAATACCTGTGGGGTGAAAGATGATGAAATCTGCAGGGGGTCCACAGCGGCTATACTAGCTGTTGGTTCCATGGTGACAACTGCTGGAGTTGTCTGTAGAGCAGGAACCATCATCAGTCCTGCTTTGTGGCTGATACTGGGAACCCTGCTTTTCTTCCTCTCGCCCAGCTGTTTCCATGTGTCTCAGCTTCGCAGGTCTCTTGGGGGAGTGAAGCCAAAGAAGATCCTTTATGCAGTGCCCTGAAAGGCTGGGGTAGCTGGCTGCTCACCTTGTCCTCCCTTTCCCAGCTAGGGGAACTTTCTCTAGATGGGTGTTCCCTTTTGGCACCAAGCAAAGCCGGCTTGCAGGATTGGATGATGCAGGCAGAATGAAACCCTTCTTCCTTCCCTTTCTGTGCAGTTATTCTCGTTTTGTCCTACTGCATTGCTGAAGTTTCCTAAGTGGACTGCAGGGTATCTCAGAGCTGTTTTATTCATTATAGAATCTAATTATTGATCTTTGTAGAGGGGCCAAGGCTGGGCTCTTCTATTCTGCCATCTTGGTGATGTCAACATATTTGAACATATGACCCTTATTTACAGATTTCTTTTACCTATGGTACCTCCTTTATGTCTCATCTGTAAAAAATTATCTCTTTCAATTTGCAAACAAGAAACCTAAGTATGCTTCAGAATCACCTGGAGAGCTTATGAAAATACAAATTTACTGGGCCTCAGTAGGGACTTTCTGTTTACATATGGCTAGCATGGCCCTGGCTGGTTTGCTCAGTGGTTAGAACAATGGCCCACAAACCAAAGGGTTGCAGGTTTGATTCCCAGCCCCAGTCCAGGTCATGCGGGAGGCAACCAATCGATGTGTCTTTCTCACATCGATGCTTCTCTCTCTCTCTCTCTCTCTCTCTCCCCCCTCCCTCCCTATCTCTCTATCTATTTCTTTTCCACTCTATCTCAAAAAAATTATTGAAAAAATATTCTTGGGTGAGAATTAAAAAATCTTTATAAAATGTGACCGGGGTGGAGCCTGGTAATTTACATTAAAATTTTCTAGTGCAACTGATGCTGCTGAAGGGCCCACACATTGAGAACCACTGGTTTAGACCAGTGATTTTCAACCTTTTTCATCTCATAGCACACAGAAACTAATTACTAAAATTTTGCAGCACCCCCAAAAATATATTTCTTGTCAACCTGACAAAAAAAAGATATAAAATTTATTCATTCACACCAGACTGTTATTGTTGTGTTAGTTGTTGTCATTTTTTTATCTGACAACCCAAGGGGAAAGAGGCCAGCACCCCTGACTAAATAGTCGAATACTGCATGTTTTAGAAATTCTTGTAGCACACCAGGTGAATATTACTGATTTAGACACACTGCAATTGCTCTAGGTCATCCAACTGAAAAATGACAGAGCTGAGATTCAGTGCCAGATTTTCATTCCATATTAAGTGCTCTTTCTTCTGCACATCAAAAATAAATAGTAATTTTCAAAAACAATGAGCAAATTCATTAAAGAACATTGGTATTTTAATGAGGTTGGGCAAGCCAACAGAGAGAGGGAAAGTACTCATATGAGAACCATTATCATCAAGTATACCAACAGCTTCATGTGAGGGGAAACTTAAGATAAAAAGTAGGAGAATGTATGGTGTTCCAAAGATGTTCTGTCTCTTAGAGTTATTACTGTTATCTTGGGTTATCCAACCCAAGATATGAATGGATATTTTAAACTATTAGCTGGCTCAGTTGTCTGAAACCAAAAGACCTTCAATTTGTAGGAGTGTTGAGAGGTAAACTGGTTTAGTTTCAAGGGGACTGTGACTTCCAAGCACATATCTATAAACACGAACCACAGGGAGGAGATGAAGCAGAGCTGATTCCCAGGTAGTCACCATGCACCAGAGGACAGTTAGGAGCCAACAGCACTGGGTGCTCAGATCCAGAAGGGGCTCTGCCAACACTAATGGGGTGAGACGCCTCATCAGAGACCAGTGGGGGCCAGAGGTGGCACCTTGACTAGACATCACCACCCCTGTCCCACAGTATCACATACACTTCATCTGCTTCAGGGATCCAACTCAGGGATGAAGACAAGAAAGGCAGAACCATCGGCAGCTGCATTTGGAATTGAGTGATTACCAAAAAACTTTTTCATCCGGATGAGATTGTGTGACCTCAAAATGCAAGACAGTTTCCTATTACTGAGTGGAAGTGAGGGATTATGCACAATTTGAGCTTCAGAAGTAGAGAACAGAAGAAATAGCAGAGGAGCAAAATAGGAAGAGAAAAAGTTTATGGTTTTTTGTGTGTGTTGTTTGTTTTGTAATTTAAGAGTCCCCTGGAAATACACCCAATATCAAGCAGAACAATTGAAAAATAATTTCACACTGAAAACACTCTGAATGGAACTGAAGGAAATTGAAGATAAAGAGAAATCCTAAAACCTGTCAGAAAGAGATGGTGGAGCACCCACCAAGGATAACAAGGAAATCTTTAGAACTGAGATTAATATTCTACGTGATTGGGGAAAATTGCCAAACTAAGATGTCTATATTCAGTTAAACTATGAGTCATAAATGAGGGCAAAATAAGGATATTTTTGGACATGAAAAGAGTAAAATAATTTACCACAAAGGGATTCCTTATTCTTGCTGCAAAACTCAAACTATTCTTTATTAAAAAAAAAAAAAAGGAAGCCCTGGCCAGTTTGGCTCAGCAGTTAGATCGTGGGCAGGTGGACCAGAGAGACCCGGGTTCGGTTCCCACTAGGGGCATGTACCTCAGTTGCAGTTTGTCCCCGGCCCCAGTT